CATACACTACCTAGCTCTTTGAGAGGATCTAGAAGCAATGACACCCCAGCATCAATGAGCATAACCAGACCTTGGTTTCTAAATATCATTCTCCAAATGAAAGGAACCAGGGCTTCTTTGAGAAATGACTGGTTGTAGGGCTAGGGCAGGGAAAACGCAAGATGAGCCTAGAGCATCTTGTACAGAAAGTAGGTAAGAGTTCAAAAACAAAAGGATAGGGGCATGTCAAAGGAGCATAGGAGAGAAACTGAAGGAGTTCCCAAGGCCAAATAAGCATACATGCATCCATACTGATAAATAGGTATGGGAGAAGAGACAACTCTTCCTTATGGAAAAATTCCAAATTATATATTTAGATTCTCTCCTCCTCCAGAGGAAGCTGGACCTGTTGACCTACTTCCAAAGGATAGAGTATGGAAAAGGAAAAACTAACTACAGTGGAGAAATCTGACAAAAACTACCTTAAGGCAAGGCTTGTCAACCTTAGCACTATTGACATTTTGGGGCACATAATTTTTTGCTGTAAAGAGCCGTCCTGTGGATTTATTAGACATTTGATAATATCCCTAGCCTCTATCCACTAGATACCAGTGGCAACCCACCCCAAGTTATGACAGTCAGTCAAAAATGTCTCCAGCCACTGCCAAATGTCCCCTGATGGGCTTCTCACCTGCCTAAGATGCACCAGCTAAAGGGTAACATCACCAGTGAGTGATGTTATGTGAATATTATGTACCAGTTGGTATGATGTTACAAGAAAGTCACTTCAAATTGTAGTATTCTTTTTAAAAACCTGTAATCCCCAAATCAACTAAAATCAGAAATAAAAGAGGGCATGTTACTGCTATAATTTCAGAAATAAAAAGGATTAGAAGAAACTTCTAGGAATAATTGTACACCACAAATTGAAAAACCTAGATGAAACAGACAAGATCCTAGAAACACACAGCCTACCAATGAATTGTGAAAAAGTAGAAAATCTGAATAGAACTATGGCTAGTAAGATTAAATTAGTGGACCAGGTGGCTTCACTGGTGAATTCTATCAAAGAAGTAACCCCAACTCTTATTAAACTCCTATAAAATATTACAAAGGAAGGAACAATTCCAAATTCATTTTATGAAACCAGCATTAACCTGACACCACGCCAGACAAAGACACTACAAGAAAACTACAGACCAATGTCCCCTATAAATAATCCTCAACAAAATTCTAGAAAACACAATACAACGATGCTTTAAAATAATTATACACCATGTCCAAGTTAGATTTATTTTTGAAATTCACAATGATTCAACATACAAAAATCAATCAGTGTAATACACCACAGTAACAGAATGAAGGAAAAAAGTATGATTAACTCGACTGATGCAGAAAAAGGTGACAAAATTCAACACTTTTATGATACACTCAACAAACAAGGAATATAAGGAAACTACCTCAGTATAATAAAGGCCATATTTAAAAAAAAAAAAAAAACCCTACAGTGCGCATCATAATGGTAAAAGACTGAAAGCTTTTTCTCTAAGAGAACAATATGCCTGCTTTCACGACTTCAGCATAATACTGGAAGTCCTAGGCAGATCAGTTTGGCAAATAAAAGAAATAAAAGGCATTCAAATTGGACAGGAGGAAGTAAAATTATCTCTATTTGCAGATCACATAATCTTATACACAGAAAACCCTTAAGATCTCACACACACACACACACACACACGAACTAATAAGTGAATTCAGCCAAGTTGCAGGATACACAATCAACACCCAAAAATCAGTTACATTTCTATATACTGACAATCTACAATCTAAAAAGGAAATGAAAACAATTTCATTTACAATACCATCAAAAAGACTAAAATACTTAGCAATAAACTTAACCAAGTAAGTGAACGACTTGTGCCCTGAAAAACTACAAAACATTGCTGGAAAACGCAAAAGAAGGCACATATAATTGGGAAGATATCCTATGTTCAGTACTACCCAAAGAAATCTACAGATTCAATGCAATCCCTATCAAAATTCCAATGACAAGTTTTGCATTAATAGAAAAACTAATTCTAAAACTCGTATGGAACGTAAAGGGATCTCAATTAGCCAAAACAATCTTGAGAAGCAATAAAGTCGGAGCTCTCACACTCCTGATTTCAAAACTTACTATAGCCAGCCATGGTGATGCATACCTATAGTCCAAGCTACTCAGGAAGCTGAGATAGGAGGACCCCTTGAGCCTGGGAGTTTGAGAACAGCCTGGTCAACAGAGTGAGACCCAGTCTTTGAAAAAAAAAACCTTAATACAAAGCCACAGTAATCAAAATAGTGTGGTATTGGCATAAAGACAGACACTTGAGGAAGACAAGAAACTTTTAATCTGAGGAATGTGAACCTCCTTTAAATTATCAGGCCCAAATAGACATTGAAATGTGACAGTAGTCACCTTTTACTTCAGGCTTGAGCTAACTATTTCTAATCTGCCTGCTATAGGGACTCTAGACTGTCACTACCAAGTAACCATAAACCTAACAATGCCTTATGTTGGAAACCATAGCTCATACCCATTAGTTCAACAATGTATAGCTAATCCCTAATCAGTGTTATTTCTGTAAACCAATGAGAATTCCTCAAACGTTTGTAAATTGCTTTCTGTTTTGATTCATCCCTTTTCTTTTTTTCTTTTAAAGACTCAAGACTCTCCTTTGCTCTCTGCAGCACTTCCCAGTGGTTCCCAAATTCCAGTCCTCAACCTTGGCCAGAATACTCTCTACGTTAATTTTGCCTCATTTTCTTACTTCAGGTCAATACACATAGACTAATGAAATATAATAGAGAGCCTAGAAATAAACCCTCTCATATATGATGAAATGATTTTTGACAAGGGTGTTAAGACCATCCAATGAGGAAAGGACTATCTTCTCAACAAATAGAATTGGGAAAACTGCATATTCACATGCAAAAGAATGAAGTTGGACCCTTACACTGTACCATATACAAAATTTAACAACAACAAAAAAAAGATCAAAGACCTAAACATGGGAGCTAAAAATATAAAGCTCTTACAAGAAGACAGGGGAAACCCTTCATGACATTGGATTTGTCAATGATTTTAATGGATATGACAGTAAAAGCACAGGCAACAACAAAACCCGATTTTAAAGTGGGCAAATTGCTTGAATAGATACTCCTCCAAAGAAGATATATAAATGGTCAATATTCACATGACGAGATGCTCAACATCATTAACCATTAGGAAAATGCAAATCAAAACCATGATGAAGGCCAGGCGCAGTGGCTTACACCTGTAATTCCAGCACTTTGGGAGGCCGAGGCGAGCGGATCACGAGGTCAGGAGATTGAGACCATCTTAACACAGTGAAACCTCGTCTCTACTAAAAATACAAAAAATTAGCCGGGCATAGTGGCACGTGCCTATAGACCCAGCTACTCAGGAGGCTGAGGCAGGAAAATCGCTTGAACCTGGGAGGTGGAGGCTGCAGTGAGCCGAGATTGCACCACTGCACTCCAGCTTGGGTGACACAGCCAGACTCCGTCTCAAAAATAAAAAAATAAATAAAAAATAAAAAACCATGATGAGATACTGCTTCAGATCCATTAGACTGGGTATTTTCCAAAAAAACAAAACAAAATCAGAACTTGTTAGCAAGTATGTGGAGACATTGGAACCCTTGGGCATTGCTGATGGGAATGTTGGTGGCTCCTGAAAAACTTAAAAATAGAATTGCCGTATGATCCAGCAATTCTACTTCTTGATATATACCCAAAAGAAGTAAAATCAGGGACTCAAGCAGATATTGTACATCAATGTGCATGACGATTACTACTCGTAATAGCCAAAAATTAAGGAAAAATATCCTATTCTGAAAAACAATTTTAGGAAGAAATGAAGAGGCATGGAAAGAGTAAATCTGAAGGTAAATCTAACTGAATATTGACTGCAAGATAATAATTCCTAAAATCAGGACATTCTCAAGAAAGTAGTAAAAGTACCAATTTATAATGGATTCTAATAAAAACCAAGGAGGCATGTTATAATCTCTAGGGTAAAACAGGAGTATATCTAGCAACTTAATAGAAGGTAAAACGCATTAATTAAAAGTATTGATTAAAAGAACGCAACAAAAATAGAAAACATAGAACAGGGAAGACAAATAGATAACAAATAGAAACACATTAGATACAAACCCAAATACATCCGTAATTACATGTAAGTGAACTAAACGACAAATATTCTTCACTAGAAACTTTTTTAAAAAGTTAATTATATGCCACTTACCCAGGACACACAGTAACTATAAGGACTCAGGAAATTTAACATTAAGAGTATGGAAAAAGATACAATATTCAAACACTGAAGAGAGCTGTTAAATAGCTTTACTAATATCAGACAAGAAGTAGACCTTAAGGCAAAAATGTTAATAAAGTAGAACATTCTATTGATTAAAGAGTCAATTTGGCAAAAATATAAATATTCTTAAAAGTATATACACCCAATAATGAGACAGAGTAGGAATGGGACTCAGCCTACCCCCACCAATGTATTTTTCCATAACATACTTGCTGACCAGAGGTTAGCAAGTGCTCTGAAAAAAACTAAGATAAGCAGCATCCCACCATAAATCTCATTCAAAGGAGTTAACCCTGTTGCCCTGATGTGCATAAGACCAGAAGAATGATCTTCAACAACATGCTTCATTATAATACTAAAATTCCCACATATCTGCCATTTTGTTTCATTGAGGTGTTGTTGTTTTTAGGAGGGGTGTTGGTTGGTGTTTGTTTTGAGACAGGATGTCACTCAGTCACCCAGGCTAGAGGACAGTGACATGATCACAGCTCTTTGCAGCCTTGACCTTCTGGGCTAGAGTGATCCTTCCACCTCACCCTCCCAAGTAGCTGGGACTACAGGCGCACACAACCATGCCCTGCCTAATTTTTTTATTTTTGTAGAGATGGGGTCTCACCATGTTGCCCAGGCTGGTCTCAAACTCCTGGGCTTAAGTGATCCTTCCATCTCAGCCTCCTAAAGTGCTGGGATTACAGGTGTGAGCCACCCCACTCGGCTTATCTGCCATTTTGATCATGTGACATGTATGTTACCATGATTCCGTACTGTATCTGCCCACTCTGCATTCCATCCTGCACATGTAGTGATGCTCACCTACCTCATGAATTATGCATGTCATCTTCCTTAAGACATCGTGATGCAGTCTCAGAGAGTCAACCAGAGAACTCTTTTTCCCTGTGCTGTTTCCCTTATGCCCAACCTTTCTGGGCATAAGTCTTAATAAAACTTAATCTCAGAAAAGTTTGACTGGCCTCATATTAATTGCCATTACATTGAGAGCTGACAATGTCATACCAATAACATATCTCTTGGCAACCATGAAGGGATTGTGAGGATTTTTGTCCTTAAGCTGGGTGGTTGAGAGCTTGCAGGACTAGTTGATGTGGCCCTTTTTGCAGCTAATAAGCAGGTACCTGAACCTTTGATTCAGTGTCACCACAAATGGTGAGCCTTCATCTGGCCTCCTGGGGCTCCTTGCTCCAGCCATAAACAATGTTTTCCTTTCCTTTCTATCTTCATTTACTCCTTTCAGCACTCCTTTTTATTTTTCTTCACTTTCCCCATAGTTTCACTATTTTGGATTGCCTTAATAGACATCTGTGAGAGATGAATTAAAACAGTTTCCCCCAGGGTCTGATTAACCTGGCAGGAAGCAGGACATGTTGCATCCCTCCCCTGGCCTACATGGTGTGGTTTGGATTTCAGTCCCAAAGAATCAGGCAGTCTGGTTTGGGCTGGAGTCCTGAAGAATCTGGTTTCTGGAACTCTGGCTATTGATTCTGTAACTTTGTTTAAAAGCCCTGTCTACTTCATTTCCCTGTGCCACACTTAGTGGGGAAGAGAGATCTTTGACTTTTCCTGTTATTTGTCTGTCCAGTGTGTAGTCCTGTCAGTTTGGGGAGACTGCCTGAGATGGTGCCAGGGACACCTGGCTAGACTTAAGGAAAGCATCATGGATGGCTGGATGTGGGAATCAGTGTTGGTTTTCTGCACAGTAAGGAAAGTTGAGAGTTCAAATGATTAACCTGCAACTATGGAGTTAAGTAGAGTCTTCTAATACTGTCTTCCTCTGCCTGCTTTGAATCTGTTGTTACTAAGCTGTTGGTGCTGAGATAAGACTCATTATTTATGGTCTAACTGAAATATAAACATTGGAAAGTCATTTGAAACTGAAGGAAACAAAGGGTAAAAGAGGCTTTTTAAAACAAACTGTCATAGAGACTGCTTTACCCAAATTTTCGTCCACAGCTTTCCTTGGATTATCTATTGGGGTAAACAAAATTTAGCCATATGAACAGTTTCCAATTTTGTTAAAAAAAAATCATTTGGATCCATCTATCTTTTATGAAGTATTGACTTTGTATTGCTATCATATTTGGCTAGAATATGAGGTAAGAGCTATTGGATCTTTATGTGTATATATACATGTTTAGATGTGTTTATGTGTGTGTACATGCATTATATTAAGTGTTGTGTCTAGCATGCTACTAAATTGGCTTATAAGTAAATGAATACTCATAAATTAAGTCCAATGCTGTTTTAGTTTATATGACTTTAGCAATCTTTGACAAATTTAAGATTGTTTTAAAGATTATTGGCAAAATAAAAACATCTTCAAAATTCATACATTTGGCCTAAATTAGGTAGGTTAAAAGACTGTGTTTGAAAAAAAAAAAAAAACACTGTATTTGCTAGATGCTTTAAGATCATAAACTGCTTCTGTAATTTTTGATAACTGTTCAACTTGCCTGCTTCGAAGCCATTAGATTCTAGGCCCGGGGACGGGACATGTAGAGTTAGCCATGCCCCTCACTATGATGGAAAAAGAGTCAGATATTATCTTCAGTTCCGTGTCTTAGGCTCTGCACCTGGTACATAATTAAAATTGCTTACACTAAAAATAAAAGCTATGTGTTTTTTTATAAAAAGCCATGGGGATGTGGTTTTTTAAAGAGAAAGTAATTTTTTCCAGTTTAGAGGGTTTAAAAATTATTTCAAATTAAAGAAAGATATGATAAAACTAAAGGTTTAAACGAATTGTAAAAGATTTATAAAAGACTACTCTTGTAAAAAAAAAAATTACATGTGGGAGCAAGTTGAGTTACAATTAAAAGGGTATTATTTACTTTTTCCACAAATTAAACATTAAAATAAAAGCACATGATGCAAAGCCAAAATGTGGGCCCATGTGTCAAAATAACAAGGGTTTCTTGGAATATTAAGTTGCTCTAACCAAAAATTGTAAAGGGTTATTTATGGACGTCTTACCTTGTGGTCAAACTAAGTAAAATTAGATAGATTTGTTTATAAGATTTTATTTAAAATTAACCTTAATGCTAATAATACATTAATACAAAGGTAGAATTTGGTTTTCTCTTTTAAACAAGATTTTTCTGTAATAATTAAAAAGATAATAAAAGATTTTAAAAGGAGACAGATTCAGTTGGCCTTATGATGTCTTCACCAGATCTTATTGTCTGGAAAACCAAGTCTCTACCAAAGAATAAAAGTTTTGCTTTTTAAAAAAATCTTTAAATTATTATTATTTTGGCTAAATAAATGGCTTATAGTGACCTGGGATTCTATTTTATGATATCAAGTGTTTTAAACATTTGCTATTGACAAACTTTCCAAGATCAATTTCTAAATTAAATCTGTTTTTTTTTTTTGGTCCTAATTAACTTTTTAACTATTAGGTCCCCTGAAGTCCAAAAAAGACATATTGAGCTTAGTTGGTATATTAAGATCATATAGAAAACACTGTCAAATATAAAATGTGTTTAACTTCCTTTGGGTCATATTCATATAAATATGTTATTAATTTGTGTTCCATAATTGTATTTTTGGAAGAAAAGACAATTTTTGTTCCTAATTCTGATGTAATTCTGATTTGTCTCCGTATTTGTTATCAGTAATAATTATGGTTATGTGGAATTATTGTGTGCCACAGAGATGGCCAGATTTCCTTGTTAGTTGTGTCTTTAACTGTGACTGTCCTAAGACTTTTGTCGTCTACAGATAATTGTTGTCTTGATCCTTTTCAAAAGGTGGTTTATAATCAGCTATAAAACTCTCATGGGTGCTCTTGAATGAAGGTTCCTGATAACTTTAGAGATTGTGCCATTGAAATAGAAAAAAAAACAAAACCTCCAGGACTTGCATAGAGAGCTGATGTGTTCATGAGGACTGTTGGCCCAATATTGGGCAGAACAAGAGTTAATTGCATGGACTTAAATAGAAGACTGAAATAGGCCAGGCACAGTGGCTCATGCCTGTAATCCCAGCACTTTGGGAGTCTAAGGCCAGAGGATCACTTGAGCCTAGGGGTTTGAGATCAGCCTGGGCAATATAGGGAGACCCTGTCTCTACAATCAATCAATCAATCAATAAGCTGGGCATAGTGGCGTATGCCTGTGGTCCCAGCTACTCAAGAGGCTAAAGTAAGAGGATTGCTTTAGCCTGGGAGGATGAGGCTGCAGTGAGCTGTGATCACACCACTGCACTCTAGTCTGAGTGACGGAGCCAGACCCTGTTTCAAAACAACAAAAAAGACTGAAATAATCTTTCTTAGACCTTTTTATTTAAAACATTGCCGATCCTTTTTGCTATGTTTTTCAGAATCAAGAAAACTTTTTTCTCTTTTAAGTTATTTACACCTTTTAACAACTGAGTAAAGTATACTTCTGTAAGCAAAATTGGGGGCATATTTCTCTCTCTCTGGTTAACTTCTCCAGAATTTGAAAATTATTCGTGAGTATTCCTAACTTGTGGCAATATAGTTGTTTGCCTAAGTGCAATAAGAATCTGTCTTCTTTTGTAACAGGCACAATTAGAGACACTTTTTGTTTTATTAAGGTTTTGACTGGAATAGTATGCTTTCAGAATGCTTTTAAAAATTGGGGATTACTTAGAGATCCCATAAAAGCTCCTTGGAGGAAATGGTTTCATACTTTGTCTATGCAGTCCCTGCGCAGGGTTCCTGACCTGTGGAAAAGATTGTCACTTTCTGACAGGCCCAGGAGCCCCCAGACTATTATAAGACTTCTAGAGGAAAGGTGTTCACCCAATTCATACAAGTATTTATAGGCACAAATACATCCACAGTGGGGCTCAAGGCTTTGAAAAGTCTAACCAGAGATTCCTATGGAATAAAGTTTCAACAAAACCAATTTATTTTAAAAAAGGATACTATATGGCAAATGATTATTCTTGCTGTACTTTATGCAAATAATCACACCAAGTATAATAAGACTAAAACGGCCAGACATGGTGGCTCACACCTATAATTCCAGTACTTTGGGAGGCCAAGGCAGGTGGATCACACAAGGCCAGGATTTCGAGACCACCCCGGCCAACGTGACAAACAAAACTTTTTCTCTACTAAAAATACAAAAATTAGCTGGGCATCATGGTGCACATCTGCAATCCCAGCTACTCGGGAGGCTGAGGCATGAGAATCACTTGAACCCAGGAGGCAGTGGTTGCAGTGAGCTGAGATTGCACCACTGCACTCCAGCCTGGGTGACAGAGCAAGCTTCTGTCTCAAAAAAAAAAAAAATGGCTAAAACTTACCTCAAAATAAGTTTTAGTCTTGTTATACCATGTCCTACCATGGTTTATCTTTGGTAAAACTAGGAGACTGGACAGGAAAATTACGTTTTGTTTAAAAAGAAAATGTATAGTGCACTAGTTATTGGATTCCAGTTCTTGTCTGTTGTTTTTGAGTTTTTGTTATTTTCTACAATTTGGATTGGCTCTTTAATTCTTTCTGGACTCCAAATCAACATTTTCAAAATTTTCTTTTATTTTTCAGACTAGGACTCAATGAAATTGCTGCTCCCATGTTCCTGAGGCCCTGCAAGCTGAAGCTTATTTCTCATGATATAGGCAAGAAAAATGTGTCCGATTGCGACCACCTTCCTCCCTGGTAACTAAAGATATTTTGAGTCTAACGTCTAGATATTTTGTGTCCAACATTAATCTTTGTTTTTCTTCTCTTTCCATAGAAATGCCTCTTATTAAAAACCTGTTTGCCTTCATTAATACAGAGGCTCAGCCTATTTGCAATGCCACCTCCTGGAATGAGACACAGCTGTTTAACTAAACTAATATATTCTCAGGACTAGGAAGCTGACTCAACAAAGGTGTGGATGGTTGAAGCTTGTATCTTCCAGGCTTCAACAGTCTCCACTCAAGCTGATGATGCAACAACATATACTATACTAGGAGAATCTAAGTCCCTATAAATCATTAGATCAGTCAGCAAGAGATTTTTACAACCTCCAATGTTAGGCAAGGACAACAGTCCAGTTCAGGAAGAAGCAGCTCCAGAAGACAAGACCTCCAGCCCCTTCTCCTTAAAAATAAGGAAGGTAAAATCTCTCAGGGAGAAAGAAACAGAGTAGGGGTGGGACTCAGCCAGCTCCTGCCAATGTATTTTTTCGTACATACTTACTGACCAGACCTTGCAAGCTCTCTGAGGAAACTAAGATAAGCAGCATCCCACCGTAAATCTTACTCAAGGCACCATATCTGCTGATTGTGAGACCTTGAAAAACCAAAATAAGCAACATCCCAACATAAATTACACTCCAAGGAGTTAACCCTATCACCTATATGTGCACAAAACCAGAAGAATGACCAGTCTTTGACCCATGCTTCATTATAATACTAAAATTCCTGCCCAAGGAGGGGCTTATCTGCCCTTTTATGATCATATATGTTACCAAGATTCCTCACTGTATCTGCACACTCTGCATTCTACCCTGCACATATAGTGACACTCACCTACCTCATGAATTCTGTGTGCCACCCTCCTTAAGACATCACAATGCACTCCCTTTGGGGAGTCAGCCCAAGAACTTTTTCCTGTTCTGTCTCCCTTATGCCCAAACTTTCTGGGGGTAAGTCTTAATAACCCTTGTCTAGGAAAAGTTTGCCTGGCCTCATCTTCATTTCTATTACTAATTTCTATTGAGAGCCAAGAACCCCATGTACATAACAATAATTTCACTCCAAAATATATAAAGCTTACATTGACAAAACTAAAAGAAGTGATAATTCTGTAATCCTAGTAGGAGACTTTCACAGTTCTCACGTTTGTTTCTTTTATGTATTTATTACCGTGACCTCTACACACTGAAACAACTCTCACATTTGTAAAAGATAGAACAAACATAAAAAAAATTCTAAGGAATTACCATGTAGGTTGACAATTTGATTAACGAAATGGCCTTACTGATGTATAGATAACAGTGCAACCAATGGCAGAAAACTTACTCTTTTTAGGTGCACAGAGAACATTTACCAAAACTTAGCATGTACTGGTTCATAAAGCAACTTACAACAAATCTCATCAGATGGAAATCATTTAGAGTAGTGCTGTCCAATAGGACTCTTTTTGTCCTATTTATAGTGCTGAATACAGTAGTTACTATAGTCAACACAGTAGTTACTAGCCAGATGTGGTTATTGAACACTAATACATGACTAGTGTGGCTGATGAACTAAATTTCATTTCTAATTAGTTCAAATAGCCACATGTGGTTAGTGGCTATCATATTGGACAGCACAGACTCACCATATATTCAGACAATCACACACACACTCACACACATGCAGTGTAAATAACCCATGGATCAAAGAAGTAAGCACAATAGAAATTAGAATATATTTTTATCTGAATGATAGTAAAAATTGTGGCATACAGCTAAAGTCCTGATTAAAGATAAATGTATTCAGTGTATGTATTAGGGAAAAAAGGCTAAAATGCAATGATCTAACTATCTATCCCAAGAAGTTATAAAAAGAAAGCAAATAAATCTAATGAAAGTAGAAAGAGTTAAATGGTAAGGAGTATGAATTAATGAAATAGAAAATAAACATTCACAAAAGGAAAATAAAGCCAAAGTGGATTTTTTTGAAAATAATAAAATTGATAGTCTCCCAGTAAGACTGATCAAGGAAAAAAGGACTATTTGTCAAACAAAGAATGCAAAAATGTGCAACAGTCCAGATCCTGTGGTCATTACAGATTTAATATAAGGGATGATACAAAATCAGCCAGGTGTGGTGGTACATGTCTGTAATCCCAGCTACTCAGGAGACTGAGACACGAGAATTGCTTGAATCCGGGAGGCAGAGGTTGTGGGGAGCCGAGATTGCACCATTGCACTCCAGCCTGGGCAACAAGAGCAAAACTCCATCTCTAAATAAATATATTAAATAATCTTTAAAAATTGAAAATCTGTCCAAAATATACACAAGAAGAAATCTAAAATCTGAATAGCTCTGAGTCTCTTAAGGAAATTAATTATAGTTTAATATTTGCTCATAAAATGAATTCTAGGCTAGATATCTAAATGAAGAATACTTTCAGCATTAAAGGAAAAAATAATTAATTGTACGCAATCTCTTCAAGGTAATGGGAGAAGATGGTATACTATCCAACTAATTTTATGGAATCTGTGGATTATGCTCTTTAGAAAGGAAGATTTCCTCCCTCAAACAAGACCACGAGGAGCCTGGTTAAGTAATTTGCTCTTTTGAGACATTCAGTTTTGTTAACTTTGAATTTTGAAAATTTCAAAATTATATAAAAATTGAAAGAATAATACAGAGAATTCCTGTATATCCTTTACCCAGAGTCCTCAAATGTTAACATTTTACCATATTTACTTTATAATTCTCTATCTACCAACTCTGTCTAATCTACTTACCTATCTAGATATATATCTATATATAATACATCTAGACATACTACTATACCTATTACTCTTAGATATACCTATCTAGGAATATTTTATATCTATATAATATATACATATATACACATTATATGTATATATGTCTATAATTTTGGAGGGGAGAAAATGTATACAAATTTATTTAACATGTATACACAGGGAGAATCACAGAGTGATTGCCCCACATATGTAGAATCTTTGTCTGAATTATTTAAGACTAAGTTGCAGACACTATGCCCCTTTGACATTTAAGTAGAGTAAGATGGGAGAGCATTTTGAGCAGAGGAGTGACATGGTCTGACTTATATGATCTAGGGGCTGTGCTGAGAACTGAGTGATGTAGGGCAAGCAGGGAAGCAGGGAGGCTATTAGCCTGAGCAACTGGAAGGACAAAATTACCATTTTCTAAGATGAGGAAGACTAAAGGAGGGCATGTTTGGGGAAGAAATTTGCTTCTGGATATACTAAGTTTAATATGCCTAATCAGTCATGTTACCAAAGCCAGTTTATAAGGCTTCTTATGTTTTCAGGGCCAGAGTTTTCTGCTCTTATGATACTGATGATTCTCGAAGATTGCACCATCCACCTTTGAGTTTGCTGACTCCCACTTGATTGCTGGCCTGCCACTCATCCTGTGCTGTTTTCTTGGAGCCTGACCTCCTCAGTGATTGCTGCTGGAGAGGCTGAATGGTGCAACCTGGAAGTGCAGAGTAGTTGATGCTCTGTGGTGGAAACCAACCAGATGGAGAGAGGAGTCTGCAGAGAAGTCTTCTCTTTCTTCCTCACCCCAGGTAAGATGCAGTACTTTAGTTCACATGGCTTGTGCCTTGAAAATGATCAGTGAGACTTAAGCAAACAGCTGTGCCTTTAGAAGCTACAGACAGCTCAGTAACACCTACTCATATTTTCTTTCTCTCCTCTGCTTCACTTCCCACTTACCTTCAGTCATGCTTTTCTTGAATTGCATCACCCTAATATTGTCTTAGTAATAAGGTTTTGTCTTAGGCCCTATTTTCTCAGGAATCCAGACTAAGGCAGGTATCATAGTGGAGATGTTTATTAGGTAAAGGGATACATGAGTCTGAAGTTCAGAGAAGAGGTCTGTAGGCTGGGGATATAGATTTTGGATTTGTAGATAATATTTAACAACATAAGACTATGAGATCAACTAGGAAGTAGATATAGGTAGAAAAGAAAAGAGAGCTGAACACTGAGCCCTCAGGCTCTCCAGTATGTAAAAAGAAGTCCAGAGAGATGAGGAAATACCAGCATTGAGACAGAAGAAACAGCTCATGAGGTAGAGGGAAATCAAGAGTGTTGTTCTGGAAGCCAAACTAAAATATGTCAATTATACAAAATACTATTGATTGGTAAGCAATGTAAGTCTGAGAAATGAAAATTGGAATCATCAACACTGAGGTTATCAAACTTGGCTAGAACTCTATGTTGAGAAAAAATCGCATAATATATAGTAATGTCACACCTCTCATTCCTGATATAATTTGTATCTTCTTTTTCTCCTGATCAGTTTGGCTAGAAGTTTATCAATTTTACTATTATTTTTATAAGATACTTTTGATTTAAACAGAGTATAGAAATTCATTTTTTGCTCTTGTTTTTCTGTTTCCTATTTTATTGATTTCAAATCTAATCTTTATTTCTTTTCCTCTCTTTATGTTGGGTTTACTTTATTCTTATTCTATCTTATTAAGTTGGAAGCTGAGGTAATTGAGAACTTTTTTCTACTATAATTGCTTTATTGCTATGAATTTCCCTCTAAGTAATACTTTGGCTGTATCTCATAGATGATGATGAAGTTAATGATGATGATAATGAGTTATATATATATATTTTTAAAGAACTGTTTTAGGTTCACAGTAAAATGGAGCAGAAGGTACAGAGATTTCCCATATATGCCCTACCCCCACACATGCATAGCCTCCCCCATTGTCAACATCCCCCACCAGAGTGGTATATTTGTTACAACTGATGAACCTACATTAACACTACATTATCGCCCCAAATCCATAATTTACATTAGGGTTCACTTTTGGTATTGTACACTACAAGGGTTTGGACAAATTTATAATGACGTATATCTGTCATTATAATATATACAGTAGTTTTACTGTCCTAAAAATTCTCTGTGCTTTGTTTATTCATTTGTATTCATCCTCTCTCCCCTCTACCAACCCCTGCAACCGCTGATCTTTTAGATGTCTCCAGAGTTTTGATTTTCCAGAATGTTATATAATTGGAATCATACAGCATGTAGCCCTTTCATACTGGCTTTTTTCACTTAATAATATGCATTTACGTTTCCTCTGTTTTTTCATGGCTTGATAGCCCATTTATTTTTAGCACTGAATAATATCCCATTGTCTAGCTATTCCATAGTTTATTTATCCATTCACCTACCAAAGTACATTTTGACTGCTTCCAAGTTTTGATAATTGTGAATAAAACTGCTGTAACATCCATGTGTAGGTTTTTGTGTAAACATGGTTTTCAACTCCTTTGGGTAAATACCAAGGATCACAGTTGCTTGATTGTATGCTAAGAGTTTATTGGGAGTTATTTTTTTAACCATGAATGGCTGCTGGATTTTGTAAAATGTGTTTTCTGCATCTGTTGATAGGAACATGTGATTTATCTTCTTTAGCCTGACAGAGTGCATTACATTAATCTGTTTTTGAATATTGAACCTGTTTTGCATACCAGGGATAAATCCCAGTTCGTTGTGTATAATTCTTTTTATACATTGTTGAAGATTTTTTTGCTGCTATGTTCATGAGAGATTATTGGTTTGTAGTTTTCTTGTAATGTCTGGTTTTGCTATTAGGGTGATGCTGGCCTCATGGAATGAGTTAGGAAGTATTCCCTCTTCTTCTATCTATGATAGAGAATTGTTATAATTTCTTTCCTAAATGTTTGACAGAATTTTCCAGTGAACTCATGTGGGCCTAATGCTTTCTGTTTTGGAAGGTTATTAGGTATTGGTTCAATATCTTTAGTAGATATAGGCCTGTTCAAGTTGTTTATTTCTTCTTGTGTGAGTTTTGGCAGATTGTGTCTTTCAAAGAATTGGTCCATTTCAGTTAGGTTATCAAATGTTGGGGCACAGAGTTCTTCATAGTATTCCTTTATTATCCTTTTAATGTCTGTGAGATCTGTAGTGATGACCCCTCTTTTATTTCTGACAGTAGTAATTTATGCCGTCTCTTTTTTCCCTAGCTAGCCTGGCTAGAGAGGCTTATTGATTTTATTGACCTTTTCAAGAAAACTTTCAGTTTTGTTGACTTTCTCTGTTGATTTATTGCTTTCAATTTCATTGATTTCTGCTCTAATTTTTATTATTTCTTTTCTTCTGCTTACTTGGGATTTAAATTGCTTTACTTTCCTAAGGCAGAAGCTTAGATGATCGATTTTAGATCTTTCTCCTTTTCTAATATTCACTCAATGCTATAAATTCCCCTCTAAGCTCTGGTTTTACTGCATCCCACACATTTTGATAAGTTCTATGTTCATTTTTATTTAGTTCAAAATATATTTTGAGATTTCTTCGACTCATGTGTGATTTAGAAGTGTGCTGTTTAATCTCTAAGTATTTTGAGATTTTTCTAGCTATATTTATTATTGATTTCTAGTTTAATTCCACTGTGGTTTGAGAGCAGACATTGTTTGATTTCTACTCTTGTAAACTTGTTAACATGTGTTTTGTGGTGCAGAATGTGGTCTATTGGTGAATATTCTATGTGAACTTGAGAAGAATGTGTATTCTGCCATGTTGGATGAAATGGTATATAGATGTTCATTATATCCAGTTGTTGGTGGTGTTGAGTTCAACTATGTCCTTACCTGCTGGATCTGTTCTTGTCTGATATAGGGGTACTGAAGTCTCCAAGTATCATGGTGGATTCATCTATTTCTCCTTGCAGTGTCATCAGTTTTTGCTTCATGTATTTTGACAATGTTGTCAGGCACATACATGTTAAGAATTGTTATGCCTTCTAGGAGAATTAATCTATCATTTTGTAATACTCCTGCTTGTCCCTGATGCCTTTCCTTGTTTTGAAGTCTGCATTGTCTGAAATTGATATAGATGCTTCCACTTTCTTTTGATTAACATTAGTATGGTATATCTCTCTCCATCCATTTACTTTTAATCTATTTTTGTTTTTATATTTAAGGTGGGTTGCATTACTTGTAGATAATATATACTTGGGTATTGTTTTTTGATCGACTCTGACAATCTCTTCCAATTGATGCAGTTAGACCATCGATATTTCAAAGTGATTCTTCACATACCTGAATTACCATCATATTGGTTACTGTTTTCTATTTGTTGCCCTTATTTTTCTGTTACTATTTTTGTCTTCTACTCTTTCTATGCCCCTTGTGATTTTTCTTTTTTTTAAAGATGTGGTCTCACTATGTTGCCTGGCTGGTCTCAAACTCCTTTGTTTAAGTGATCCTCCTGCCTCAGTCGCCCAAGTAGCTGGGCCTATAGCCATGGGCCACTGCACCTGGTTCATGGGTCTTGTGATTTTAATTGAGCATTTTATATGATCCGCCCGCCTTGGCCTCCCAAAGTGCTGGGATTACAGGCATGAGCCACTGTGCCCGGCCAGGTGTTGGGTATTTAAAAAATACACACACTCACATGTTTGTGCTCGTGTCTGCTACAGGGACATTGTATTCTTGAGCTTTCTTCTGGGATGTGTTTATCTTCTCAGGTCTTGCTTTTAAGTTTTTACACAGTGTTTAGGGTTTTTCTCCACAAAGTAGGCAAGATGCTTCCCTAGTACTCTAACTCGGAGTTTTTTCAAACCTCAGCACTACTGCCATTTGGGGCTAATTCATTGTTATAAATTGTAGGATACTTAATAACATTTCTGATCTCTACCCACTAAATGCCAGTAGTGTCCATCTCCTCTGGTTGTGACAACCAAAAATGTCTCCTGGGGGACAGAATTGCCCTTGAGAATTACTGCCCTGATGCTCTATGAATTATGAGGTTTTCTACTCTGGCTGATACCATTCCTGTCTCTTTGTGAGTTCTGGTGATTTTTCCCTGCAATCCTTTTGGATAGTTCTTTCCCCAAACTCAGGTAGTCTCCTTACATATATATGCTCATAAGTACTCAACTGAATACTTGAGAGGGACTCTGCAGATCTCCACTGTTGTCTTTCTGTGCACTTATCTCCTCTCTGGTACTCTGTCCTGCAAAAGCTAGCCACCTTGGCCTCCCAGGACTTCTTGCTCCATCTTCTCAAGAAAACTGCCAGTCTCTGCCTGAGCCCCATTCCTTGTGCTGTGGCCTGGAAACTCTCCCCAAGCAAGGAAATGGGCAATCCAAGTTTGCCTCGTTTGTTTTTGTCTCTCGTGAATCCCATCTTCCCATTCTTTGCCTCTGTCTGCTACATTGATGTGAGCTCACATCAATTTATTTGATATTTAATAAAATACCAAAATAAATAATTGATATTTTATTTATTCAGGCAGGTTAGATCTGATCCCTGTACTCTATCTTGGCCTGAAGGTTTTTGTGTGATAAAAACAGCATATTTTTATGTTAATTAGAAAAGTTCAGAAGACAGGAAAAATTGATAATGTAGGAAAGGTGAGGATTATTGGAGTATGTCTTTCCATAGGTGTGAGAAGACAGCTTGGATCCAGTGGAGAGGTTAGCCTTAGGCAGAAGCAGACAGTTGATCTAAAGTTCAGAGGAAAGAAGGAAGCCATATATAGACATATAGACACAGGTTTCTAAATATGTATTTGTTTTCTAAATATGTATTTGTTGTAAATAATGGTGTGATATAGATGGGGAGAAGTATATAGATAGAACATTTATATAGGTGTATAGAGAACAAAAAAATGTTACCGGGATGTTATTAGGATTATGGATTCCGGTGACTTTTTGGGTGATTTTTACTTCTAAACTTCTTCTATTACCTTTGTAATATGTAAAGAAACATTTTAAGAATTTAGATAAACTAGATGGAGACTTAGTTTTGTTCAGCTGTTCTCAGCACCTTGTCACATTACTCGTTTGCTCAAAACCTCTAATGATCTCTCATTACATTCAAAGACAGTTATAGTTCCAACAATGGCTAACCAGGTCCTCCATGATCCAGCTTCTCCCTGCCACAATCACCATTTGTCTTTGGCCTCAGCTAGTTTCCCCCATGTTCATTCTGCTCTAGCCGTACTGGCCTCTTTGCTTTCTTGAACAAATGAGGCATTGCTCCTACATCAAGTTGCTTTGCAGTTGCTGTCTGCATGCCTGGAACATTCTCCAGTCTCATGGCTTGCTTCCTTATACTATCTTTTCTCCAATGTCACATTCTCAGTGAAAACCTTTCCCGGCCAACCTATCTAAATTGCACTCTTTCCTTCTTGACATTTTGTATCACTTTCCTATCTTCTCCCTAACCATTTGTCATCATATGACATACAATATGCGTTTTTAAGAAACTGTTTCTCATTTACTTTTGGTTTTCCACTGCCATGTATAGTTTTTCACACACACAAGCAACAGATGTAAATCTCAGAACAGTGCCTGACCCAGAGTGGGCATATGTTGAATAAAAGCTTGCAAAATGTTTTGCTCAATTTTGAAAGACATCTCTGAAAACTCCATCTTGGGAGATGGGATTAATCAGAGGTGCCAGATGACATAGAGCACTGCTACATTTCCGGCCATAGAAAAGAGCCCACAGGGTGAGGCTGCTCACGTCTGTGTGTATTCATTCAGGTCTTGAGTCCACAGACCTGAGAATGAAACAAAGAGCCAGAGAACCACGGAGTTGGGATGGAGGTCATTGGAAGGGCTCCAAGGGTTGCATACAGGGGATGTCTGAGGGGAATCCCCCAAGAACAATGGTAGGAGATGGGTCCAGCTCTCAGCAGTGTAACCCTTAAAGTCCCAGGTGAATGAGTCTAGACGAAGAGTAAGAAGAGACCTGCCAAAGAGGCAACTGTGTAAAAAGCTGTTCATCCACATTTCCAACATCAGTGTTCAGTTACCATTGGAATGTAAAGTATATGTGTGTGGTGTGTGTTACAGGGAGAGTGGAGTAACAAATGGCAAAAGTTGACAGAGGCCAAATCATGGAAGGCCATGCTAATTTTATTAACTTATATAGTGCATAAAGTCTAGAATTTAAAATTACAAAGGTTTTCTACAAATCAATAAGAAAATACAAATAACCTATATTAATCAGAACAGAAACCCAATTCAATTATCTTAAACAAGAAAGGGACTTTATTGGCTCACAAAACTTTAAAGTCCGGAGGTAGGGCAGGCTTTAGGCACAGCTGGATCTAGGGCCTCCAGAAAAATGACATCAGAACTTAGTTCTCTTTCCATTTCTGCTAGCATCCAAGTTTCTCCTCAGACAGACTCTCTCCACATGGCACAAATTCAGGTTTACATGGTCCTTGATTCCTGGGATCTCCATAAAGCCTTCTTTCCAGTAGTCCCAGCAGAAGTTCTGTTGAGGGCTCTCCTTAGCCTGGCTTAAGTTAAATACCCATTCTTTAATCACTGTGGCTAGGAAGCTGTGGGACTCAGGAGGCCAGGCCTGGTCATGTACTCACCTAAGCCACAGGGAATGGGCTCCCCACAAATAAATAAGGGTTGTATTACCAGAAGGTGGGGAAGGAGATGCTGAACAAACAAAAACAAGATACCCACACATAACCCAATAGAAAGCAGGTAAAGGATACAAACAATCCACAGTAAACTATAAATGGCCAATAAACATGAAAATAACCCCAATCTCACCATTTTTTTTTTATAGTCAGGGAAATGCAAAATAAGAATAGATTCTTTTTCGCCCAACGGATAAAAACTATCAAGTGTAGGTATGGTTATATGGGAAAATGAACATTTTCCATACAGTTGGTGAAAATACAGTTATGAAGGCCTTTGGGAAGACTAAAGGTGGACAGAGAACAAACCCTTTGACCCAACAATCCACCTTACTGGACTCCAGACTAAAGAAATATTCACACACATGCACAAAGACATCTCGATAGGATGTTTACTTTGGCAATGTAATAGCGACAGGAAAAAAAATTAAGGGAATAGTTAAATAATGGCATTTTCATACTATTTAATAATATTCAACCATTAAAGAAATTTAAAGACCTGTTATCTTTTTTTGAGACCAAAGCTACAGAATATGAGATCCTATTTATGTAAAAAGTGTTTTTATGTGTATGTATATTTGCATGGAAAGGTGACTAGAGGATGTATGTTAAACTGTGGTGAAATGTGATTGGTAGCATTGGAGAAAAGGGTCTCTCTATTCAAAGAACTGCGTTATTATTTTTTATACAATGAGAAGGTAGTCATTAGACTTTCGTAATTAAAAAAAGAAAAATGGGCAAAAGCAATTCATAATAGGAAATGCAAATGGCCAACAAACATGAAAAGATGTTCCTCCTCATTAACATTCAGAGAAAAGAAAGAAATTCTGCCTATCAGATTGGCAAACATTTTTAAGGATTCAGGGTTGGCAGACTGTAGGCAAACAGGCATTCTTACTAATGATGGAGTTGTAAATTGGTAAAATCTTTTTGGTACTAGTTCTCAAAACTGAAAACGTGAAATCTGATCCAATAAATTTCTAGTTATTCATCCTACAGAAATACCCACACAATTAGCAAAATACATCTACAGGAATGTTACCTATGCCTTTATCTATAGTGAACCTAATTATCAATCCATAGGGGATTAAATAAATTACAAAATATTCATGCAATGGAATAGTATATAGTTATGAAAAAAGAACATCTTTAATGTGGGCGGAGAGGAGGCAAGTCTCAGTGTAGTGCGTGTGAAATGGGGTTATGTCCTACTTTATATGGTAGCTGAGGATTAAGAGTTAATCCATGATAAAGCACTTCAAATAGTGCCTGTCACAGCAACCACAGTTGTCAGCTATTAACTCACTGTTGATTAAATAAGTATATGCCTAAATCTGGAAGAACAACAAACCAAATTATCAAGACTTCTGGGTAACACTGTGAAAGGAAATACCCTTTTTCATTTTACATTTCTGCACTGTAAAAAATTCAAACCAGCAATGTATAATAGCTTTCACATTTGTTAACCATAAACACAAATTTATCAAGGTTTAATAGCCACCACCCATGGCATGGTGAATATGTCCCTGGAGTCTACAGAACCAGATGTGAGTTTTATCTCTAGGCCACATGCAAGTCACATGATCTCTGAATCTTGCTTTCCTGGTCTACAAATGTGAGATAGGTACAGTGTCTTAAGCCAATGCCTAGCATGCAGATTATTTCAGTACATGTAACCCTCCCTTCAATTTACATGAATATGAGACATACTGCTAAAGATCAACAAGTACCAACTGGGTATGACTACAGAGAGCTTAACCTCCAAGAAAGCCAGAAGAAAAAACCAGCAAATGCTCAGTGGCTACTGGGCAGGTATCAGCAGTCTGCATGACCTAAAATGACTGCTCATTTGCTAACCAAACAGATGTTCTGGCGACGCCACTGCTTGGCAACTGCCATATCACCACTTCATCAGAAGCTAGGCACTCCCCCAAATTTCTAAGATTATCTGTGTGGGTAATAAATGAATGTGTGGATGGAATTTTAAAAATCACTACAGAGTATTCAAAATCAATTTGTCTAGTGGGGACTAAGCCTAACCAGAGAAAGAAAGTACACATCTCATCATTTCCTCTTGTGTGCTACCATCCAGTTTGTTTTGGTCCAGTCCCTTTTCCCCACAGAGCTTCGCCTTAGCCTCAGAATCCTTTCTGAACAATGCAGATATTAGAGCTGCCAAGACAAAGACAGTATTTGCCAACCCTAATACTACTTTTTCTACACTCACATTACCAAATATCTTTGGCATTTATGACAAATCTACCACAGGGAAGCTTCCTTGTATATAGGAACCATATACGATATTAAAAAGCATGACATAACAGCCATTGAGAGGTTGCTCCCTTCTTACCTACTCTGATACAAGAATTCTGTCATCCCAGCTGTCTTCCAAATATGCCACCTCAAAACCTACTTGGAAAGAAGCCAGTCATAAATAAATAAATCACATCATTTATCTTAAAGCAGAGGAGTTTATAGCTTTATTGGACATTGACTTGTTTTCCCTCAGCCACAGAGAAAAAGACCCAAACAAAAGTCCCTACATTTTCTTGTATAACTTAAAATACATTATATCATTACTACATATTTATACTTCAATAAATCTTAATCTATAAAGCACATTTTTTATAATTGTTATCAGAAAACCTATAAACAAGCTCCATTCTGCCTCACTTCTCCACCAGCTGGCCTTGCATTTATTACTATGCTTTTTAATAGGCTCACGCAAAATGTCACCTTCCATTTTTAAACTTGTTCCAAGCACCAGATATAACCAAAATCTCTGAACTAGGAAATATTTGTATTCACATGGGTCATTTTCCACACAATGATGCCCATTATAAAAAAGCCTCCTCTCATATTCTGTATTTTAACTTCCAGAGTTTTCCACTCAACAGTAGAACCACAGTACTTGGAATTCTCAGCCAAGGAGTATATAATCCTACTACTACAATGTATTACTTTAATACATTTTTAAAAATGTGTTAAGACTGAAAATTTAAAAAAAAATTCAATTCTGATAGGATAGTTAATAAACTAGTTGTTAATAGTCTAGTTGTTTACTTTTTAAATAGAACAGTCCATTCAACTTAATATGTAGGTACAACCTCAATGCTATTAAGAGATTGATTAGGTCTTTAAAAAGATTCACAAACTTCCAAATTGTGGTAAGAGTATCGTGGACTCACCTCTGAAGAACACTGGAGAGCGAGCTAGCTCTTTGAGCCAAGTCCTCCTCCCCCTCCAAATACAACACCCTGGTAAAAGAACTATAGTTCTGGGAACCTCACAGGTGACCTCCCCTGAGGAATGCTCAGACAAGGGGAAGAGGCTAACTCACATAAAACAGCAAACCCCTATGATTTACAGTGGAAGAATACCTACCTACTTATGGTAGGATTACAGTACCTAGCACAGTGCCTTGTCGGTAGAAAATGTTTAATAACGCATGGCTGCTTTTTTAGCCTGATGTTCAACCCTTTTGTACCAAAGGAATAAAAAATAGGTAACCTGATACTTGTCCTCCTGTCAGGGAATTTTCTATCCTTAGCAAAGATGAAGGCAAAATAATGATGAATTTGATCATCTTTTTCTAAAAGCCATGACAGACCATTACCCTTATGTTTACATTTGCCCTTCAACACTGCCATCCACTACAAATATTTCCCTAGTGTTATAATTTCTACCTTCATTATTTTACAAGTGTTTATTGTTTAGACTGTATGCTTTTTAATAATATATGGGAAAACATTATTTTCATTAGTAAGATGACTCCAAATTATAGAGAGGATGAGTAGCTTTTGAATTTTCCTGCAGGCAGAATATAAATTCTTGATATACTTCAATTCTGAGATCAAAGTATTTGTATATCTTCCCCAATCAAGGTGTTCCATTCACTTTTTGATGTTTTATCACCATCACTTCTTATCTGAGATCTTATGGCTCATTTTGAGGCTCTTAGTCATCCATTATCCTCTATTTTCTCAAATGCACATTCAAATTAGGTAAAAGGAAACAAGCGTAAATTTTTAAAAGATGGTTTAAAATGGTTTTCAGACTTTGTAATTCCTGTTGCCTTTTAATATATAAGGGAATGTATCCTTATAAAGAACATTTCAATGATCAATGCAGAAATAACATATTTGTCTTTAAAAAAAAAAAAAGGAAACTTTCAAGAAAGGGACAATGAATCAGGTAGTTCATTATTTGGAGAATAGAGACATAAACATCACATGGAAAATTTAGGCATTCAGACCTGAATTAAGTTTAAAATTTCAGTTTCTAGGCAGGTACGACACCATTTCTTTCAAGATAAAATCATAATGGTGAGTGAAGATTTTTACATTTCCCAGTGGATTTTCTGACAGTCAATAGGGAAAAAACTATTCTGCATCATTTCATATTTTAAATTTTGTCTTCATTTCTGAAGAAAAAGACCTGAGTGCTGATTTTTTTTTTTCAATTTCTTAAACTTTCACAACATTCAGAAGTTTTTCTGCATTGTGTCTTCTCTGATGTCTAAAAAGATTTGAGCTTTGACTATACGATTTCCCACACTGAACGCATTCATAAGGTTTCTCCCCAGTATGGATTCTCTGATGATTAATAAGCCCCGAATTCTGGCTAAAGGCTTTCCCACATTCAAGACATTTGTAAGGTTTTTCTCCAGTGTGGACTCTCTGGTGTTGCACAAGAATGGAACTTCGGCTGAATGCTTTCCCACACTCAACACATCCATAAGGTTTCTCCCCACTGTGAATTCTTTGATGAAGAATAAGGGCTGAGCCCTGACTGAAGTGTTTTCCACATTCATCGCATATATGTTGTTTCTTTCGAGAGGGATTTCTCTTTCTTTCAAACCTGCCCTTGGGGAAACAGGTTTCTCCATATTTAAAAATCTGAGGAACACTCATATTGAGAGTACCAGGAACTTCATGGGATTCTACTGCTGAAGGAAGCTCCTGCTTTGGAGCTAGTGCTCCATTTTCAGTCCTACCATCATCATCTGAAAAAAACAGAAAATGTAAATATCATTCATTATCTATTAAGGGAAAAACAAACCGAAAAAAAATTTTTTTAATGAATTAAATAGCTTGCACACATCTATAAACCACTCTGAAACGGTGTTAAGGCCTGTTCTCAAAAAAGAAAAAATGAAATTACTCTGAAATAACAGTATAACATCATGATATAAGAGATCTCTGAATAAAACATAGGCAAGTGGTTTATAAACGGTAGTCAGAAAACAAAGGGCAGAAAGATGGTAGATTCTAAGATGGTTAGGGAGACAGTCAAAGTTATGTGGCTAGGTATGGATGAAACGTTGTAAGAATAAAAATAAAATAAAATTGGCCACTAGGAAATCATTATAATGTTCTTTTGCTTTGAGAAAGGGAGACATCAAAATACAAAGACATAAATTTTAAAAACCTGTCAGAAAGTGGCTATTTCTGAAATGAACAAGACAAGTCAGGTCACAGCCAATGTTAGGCTAAAAGCAGAACACAGGAGTCTTGACAAGAAGGGGCTGAAGATAAGCTGGGGGCATCCTGTGTTAACCAAACACATGACATAAAAATTCAGTATGCCCCTAGTAAATGAAAGTTTTCCAATAAAAGAAGCTTGCCCCATGTGATATTTGTCACGGTACTTAGAAAAATGGTTATTTCTAAGCCAGTGAAACGTGTCCAATGAAAGAAAAGCCTGAATTACCAACAGGTAGTAGCATCACTCACATGCAGGCAGAGATAACGGCAAGTGTCATTTAAGACTCTTCTGAAACTTCATGCCTTAAGGAGTAAAGATACAGTTTATCTAGGGTTAGCAACTGCCTTCAGTGAAGAGGGAAATAGTAAATAATTAACAAAAAGATAAAGTCAGGACATAAGGCTAAGAGAGAGAGACTGAAAGGTTAGAGGACAGTGAGGTTTGGAGACTTGAAAAACAGAGGAGTGAGTTTGAAGATTAAGTGGAGACAAACGGCACACAGGAAACAGAAATTCCCAAGTGTGGAAGAGACTAGACAGCTGAAATAAGGCTATTTAAACATAGGTGAAAAGTCACTCTAAAATTCAGATGATGAGAAGTTGAAAATATCAACCCCATATATCAAGAATGATGCTTCTCAAACTTTACTGCACAGAAGAATGTCCCATGAAACATGTAAAACTGCAGATTTTCAGCAGACTTCAGCCCCACCCCAAAACTTCTGATTGGCTGGCACTGTCCCCTCAGATGTGAAGAAAACCTGCTCAGACCTCATTCAGTGACATATAAGCACCATCTCCAACTACCTCAAGGAATGGTTACTAAAGCAGAGTCAAACAAAATTTCATTTTAGTTCACATAAACATGAGAAAGCAATCTAGCAGTTTTAGGAATATACTGGGCCATATCAAAGGATACACATAAGTATATGGTGTTAATGACCAATATATTGGGAAAGACCAGTCTCGTGAATTAATACAACTTTGAGCTTTTAGAAAAGCTTTTTCTGCATTTAAAGCATGTTATAGCTAAGAAGGCTTTTTTTGCGTAAATACTTAGAAAAAGGAAAAAAATCACTCCAAATATAATTTCTACAAAAGAAGCTTCTTAGAAGAAAATGACTCTAGGTAGACGTTGAAGAAAATCAGAAATAAATATTTGGAAAGACTTCAGTGATATACAACAGAGAGATGAGAAGAGGTTTTCAGGTAAGCTTACTGTACCAATGGAATTAGGCAGGAGATTGAAAGTAAAAGGATGGAAAATGGATGACAAGTAATACTGAATGTAAAATAGAGGGACTTGGTCCACGGGTGGGTGCTGGCTCAAAGTAAGGCAAATGCTAGCCTGACATGGGCAACTCTTTTTAGGAAGGAAACTCAAAGGGAAGAAAAGGCTGAAGATGTTAATGTGTAGGAATAAAAGATCTGAGGCCAGCAAAATCAACTTAATCAGAAAAAAACTGAGATCTTAGATTAAGAGTGATATGATCCCCCCAACCAGTGAGAACAAGCAAAGTTCGGAACAAACGGCCTACGCTCTCTTTCACCCTCTAGTCCACACAGAGTTCTGGTCCTCACCACAGTGCCTTAGGGAATGGAGCTCCCAGGATGCCCATTTGAGCTGGTTCTCCACAGCATCAAGCTCAGAACTTGGTAATCCCTGAGCTTCTTCTTGAGATACCATGTCTTCTACTAGTACTTCCCGTTTTCGTCGACGGAGAGAAACCTGGAAACAGAAAGATGTGATTCAGAGAAGGAACTATAATGAGAATCAGAACTAAAAACATGTAAGAGAAACCCCGTAAAACAAATATTGCAGAAGCCTAGATGGCAAAGAAGCACAGATAACAGGGAGTGGTAGGGGCATGGGGGAAAAGGTATAAACCTAATTCTAATTTAGTTGAGTGGAATTAATTCAGCAGCTTTGCCTACTACTATGCCAGTGCTTCTGACCCAGGAAATGACACAAGCAGGCTCACCGGTTGTCCAGGGTCATCAAGTTCACTCTCCAAATCCTCCAGCACTGTCACTGCCTCCTCTCCATTCTCTGGATGATGATCTCGAACCCAAGTCTGTAGCTCTTTGGGTAGGATGGCAACAAACTGCTCCAGCACTACCAGCTCCAAGATTTGCTCTTTTGTGTGCGTCTCTGGCCTGAGCCACAGACGGCAAAGTTCTCGGAGCTGGCTCACAGCCTCACGGGGCCCAGGTGAATCCTGGTATCCAAACTGCCTGAATCGCTGTCGGAAAATCTCTGGGTCTGGGAGATGGTTCCAGGGGATACTTGATCCCTCTTCGCCATCAGGATCCTCCTCCAACTTCACTCTCAGAATTTTTTCCTCTTCATCTGGAGTTGGGATGATAAGTATTGAATCTTCTTCCACTGACTGTGCAGACATTCTGATTTATAATATTTCAAGAAAATACAACTGAGGCAGAATATAAGCCTCAGGGCAATACCCCGTTTTCTTCACAGGCACTCCTGAGGCACAAGAAATAAAAGATATATAAATAAGCAGAAATATCCTAAGAATTTGGACTTACACTGGTAAAAGTAAAAGATACTTGTTCTTTGATGGAGTTAAAAATTTCAGTCAATAACCTACACCAGGAATTGGCAAACTACAGCTTCGCGGCCAAATCTAGCCTGTCACCCATTGCTATACAACTCTTGCACCAATAATAATTTTCACATTTTTAAATGGCTGTGGTCTTTACCACAGTGCCTTAGGGAATGGAGCTCTCTAAAATCAAATGAATACCTAATGATATTTAGGGAATGGAGCTCCCCAAAGTCAAATGAATACCTCATGACAAGTGAAAATGATACGAAATTAACATGAATGTGTCCATAAAAAATTGTACTTACTCATACTTCACCCTACAATAGCAGAGTTGAGTAGTTTCAACAGACTAGATGGCCTAAAAAAACCCAACACAGTCATGCACTACAAAATGATGTTTGGGTCAATGAAGGACCACACAGATGACAGTGCTCTCATAAGATTATAATGGAGCTGAAAAATTCAAGATTCACCTAGTGACACTGTAGCTGTTGTAAGGTTAATGCATTATTCACATGTTTGTGGTGATGGTGGTGTAAACAAACCTGTTGTGTTGCCAGTTTAACACATACAGTCATGTATGGTACATAAAACTTGATAACAACAATAAACGACTATGTTACTTGTTTATGTATTTACTATACTTTTCATACTATACTATTTTAGAGTGTGCTCCTTCTACTTATTAAAAAAAAAGTTAACGGCAAAATGGCCTCAGGCAGGTCCTTCAGGAGCTATTATACAAGGCACTGTTATCACAGAGATGACAGCTCCATGCACGTTACTGCTACTGAAAACCTTCCAGTGGGACAAGATAGGGAGGCAGAAGGCAATGATATTGATAATCCAGACCCTGTGTAAGCCTAAGCTAATGCATGTGTTTGTCTTAGTTTTTAACAAAAAAAAGTTCCAAAAGGAAAAAAAAATAAAAACTGGCTAGGTGCAGTGGTTCACATCTGTAATCCCAGCACTATAGGAGGCTGAGGCAGGAGGATCACTAAAGACCAGGAGTTCAAGGCTCCACTGAGCTATGATCGCACCACTGCATTCCAGCCTGGGCAACAGAGAGAGACCCTGTCTCTAAAAAATGAATTTAAAAATAGCAAAAAGCTGGGCCTGGCGCGGTGGCTCACACCTGTAATCCCAGCACTTTGGGAGGCTGAGGCGGACAGATCACGAGGTCAAGAGATCGAGACTATCCTGGCCAACATAGTGAAACCCTGTTTCAACCAAAACGAAGGTTTGCTTTATTATTATGTGCTTAAAAAAATTTTACCACTTAAAAAATAAGGTATTTAAGAACTCCTTGGACTTAAAATATATGTGGAAAAAATGTTCACTTGCTGAGTAACAGATCACATAATATTGAAAAGATCATATGTGAAAAACAGATCACATAATTTTGAAAAATTATCTTGCACATAATACGTAAATATTCAGTCTTCCACCACACCATACGTACATTTATATTTATAATGATAGGCATTAATCACAGAAAATTCTATTAAGAAAAGGCACTCGCATTAGCACCTTAACTTCTTGCAGTGGTCCAGTGTCTTGTCCTTACACTGGATGACTCACAGTTTCCCCAGTTCTACCTTCAGGGAAACTGTATGCTGTTTCTGGACCTTTATTATTTGCACTATCATGCCCGTGCTGTTGTTTACGACACATACTAACAATGAGCCATGTAGCCTATGAACAACAACTTAAACTTATCGTAACCCAAGCAAGATGAAGACTGGAATCAGAAAAGGCCTTATCAGACAAGTAATACATACTGGTTTAATTAAATACCCTGGAGTGTGGTGGCCTTATAAATAAGGTCTAGCCAACATTGATTTGTTCCTATTCCAACACCCTGCTTATCAACGGTGCAACTATTTCTACATATATTTCTCTTCCTTTTATGCTGTACAGCATACTGCTTGTGGGAAATGGAGGGAAGGCCAACGGTCCCGACAATGTTTGGTCAGGGCACCTCGTTCCAGGTGATCGCCCACCTTACTGCTGCATAGACCTGCTGTGTACCCCGATCCCGGCCAGTCCTCTAGCCCCTCTTCCCAGCACTCAGGACGGCGGATTTCAGATGACCAAAGACCACCCTGTGACAACAGCGTCGGAACCACGGCACTTCCGCCTGCGGCCGGTGGGACTACAAATCCCAACAGCCTCGCGCAAGTCTCGCCCCACTACCACCTCCTCCCAACACGACTCCCAGAACCCTCCGCGAGACGCCAGGGCCTCGAAATAGAACAAAACCGGCCGGTGGGGGAGGGGGAAGGTGAGGGTCTCGGAGGACACCGGGGGTTAGAGAGCTCTCTGCAAACGCCGAAGACCCAAGCAAGCCTGCCGCCTACCTCTCCCCGCCCCACAACTGCTAGACGCGGAGAGCGCGGCCTGTTCCCCGCGCCTCTCGGGAAGCTGAGGAAGGTCCCGGGAAGGCTTCCCCGCCGACTCCTGCTAAGAGGTCCGCAGACCCTAGCCCGGTGTCCCCCTCCCTCTCATAACGTTCCCCGCACACCGGCGCAAACCTCTGGCTCAGGAACCGCAGCAGCTTCGCTGTCCACGGCAGACGCAGAAACGCCGTTCACAAGCCTTTTCCCAGAAGCCCCCGGCACGGGCTGCTTCCGGTCTGCGGGCCTGAGGAGGCGGGGAGAGGTAAAGCCCACGTTGCCATGGAGAAGCGCCCCGGGCGGGGGAGGGGCGGCCCCACGACAATGACCGCATTGAGGCTGCGCTTGGCCTCGCGCCTCGAACAGCCTAGCGTCCTCTGGACGGTTTAAAAGAAAAGAAAAAGTAGAGGACTCTACCATTAAGATAGTCCTTACAGTTTCGCAAGCCCTTTCACGTGCATTATCTTGTGGATCCTCTCAGTAATTCCCTGCAAGAAGGAATAAAAGCGAGTATTTGTGAAAGCTTACTACATTGTGCCAGGCGCTCTCGTCGTGCTTTACATGTCATTTATTTTTTCACAAATAAATGATGTAGGAACTTTCATTATCCTCATTTCACAGCTGAGATAGTTGAGGCACAAATACAGTAAGTAACTTGACAAGAGCTCACAACTCATTTGTGGGAAGCAAGATTTGAAACCAAGACGTGATTCAAATCTTTGGCTCCCACTAGTTATGTCACGGAGCTTTATTCTGACCTATTTGTCAGGAAAACTAGATGAGACAGGTTAAGGGTTTTGGCAACAATGTCACGGTGAATTTGTAGAATGCATGGTCATCTTCAAGCTGGGCATTTTATACCATAAAACAGCTGCTGACGCAATCATTTATTACAAATCAGACCACTTCACTCCCCTATTTAAAGCCCTCCAATTTATGCCATAATAATTTATGACATAAAAACTCCTTATAATGTCTTGTAAGTCCCCCATGGTCTGTTGCCTGCCCGCACCCCCAGACCCTGGCGCCCCCAGTCACCTCAGTTCTTCAGCTCCGTGTGGCCCAAGATCCTCAGCCTCACCGCCAGCCTTTCATGACACATGACCCTTCATGGCACTATTATTAATGGAAGTGATCTCATTTATTTACTTGTTTTTTGTTTTGTTTTGCCTTTAAGTCCCTTAAGGGCAGGGACCTTGACTGTCTTGTTCACCACAGCATCCCAGCCTAGACCCCGGAAGCTGACTGCCTGGTAAATAGAGAACACAATAAATGTTTGTTGAATAAATAAATGAATTGTGGGATGGTTACATCGCTGCCTTTAGTTAGGTCACATGATTGGCATCAGACACCACACAAAGGAGCCCTGTTGTTTAAGGACTGGTCAAAAGTGTAGATCCAACCTAACATAAGCATTTCAAGTTCCTCAGGCTTTGACTTTTTGCCTCATTCGGGAAAATGCCCTCTGCAAAGTGCCGTCAAGCTCTGCTGGGTTCGTGCATGAAGACAGCAAGTGAGCCAGCAGCTGATGGTATACCATTGCTTTTCACTCCGACCAGAGCCTTTCTCACAACCCGTGCTAACACTTCTCTCTTCATTGCAGGAAGCTTCAGAAATCCAGCCTTTTCACTCTGCTACTTGGATACGGCCCCCAAGCAGCTTGGCTGCTCTTCCCAACTTTTCCCTCTTTTCTGATTCATAAAGGCTAGCTGAAGTCATTTTTGTTTTATGAGTTTTTACATCTAATTAGTGTTGGAAAACAAAAATCTCAAACGAAACCTTGGGGAAATTAAAAATGTTGCAAAGTTTTACAAAACCCTTTTCCTGTGATTATATTCTGTTTGTTTTTGAGACAGGGTCTTGCTCTGTCACCCAGGATGTAGGGCAATGGTGCAATTTTGGCTTACTGTGGCTTCGACCTCCCGGACTCGGTGATCCTCCCACCTCAGCCTCCTGAGTAACTGGGCATTTTATACCATAAAACTGGTGCTGATGCGATTATTTAAAATTACAAATCAAACCACTTCACTCTCCTAATTAAAGGCCTCCATTTTATGTTGTAATAATTTATCTTGAAATGCTTGTGGAAGGCTGGACTTACACTTTTGACAAGTCCTTAAACAACGGGTGTGCTCCACCATGCCCAGCTAATTTGTTTGTGCTCCACCATGCCCAGCTAATTTGTTTGTTTGTTTGTTTGTTTTTCAGAGATGAGGTCTTCCTATGTTTCCTGGACTGCTCTCCAACTCCTGGGCACAAGTGACCCTCCTGCCTTGGCCTCCTAAATTGCTAGGATTGCAGGTGTGAGCCACCGTACCTGGCCTCCATTCTATTCCTAATTCCTTCTAAAATACTACATGGAAACCACAGTGAGGTTTTCCTCACTAAGTTACTCTTTTGAAGGCAGACGCTAGTAACACCTGCTTTGAAACACCATCCTTCTGAGGTCCTCTGGGATTTTTTCTGAATGGTGGCCCTTGTTGCCATCTTAAAGGTCTAGTCAAGATAAAACATCATGTTCCTCTGGACAACCTGAATGGAGGGGGCAGCTTCATACCAGGGCCTGACAATCTTGCACATATCCACATAGACCACATAGGCAATGCCTGAACCACAGCTGATCTGAGTCTTGGCAGAACACCTTGGTATCCTCCCAGAAGATGAGCGCAATGAGAGACTTGTAAGCAGCTACTGCAAGGCCATTTCCCACTCAGCTCTCTGTCTTCCAAAGAGACTGTCATGAGGCAGTTTCTCATTGCTTCCCGGGTTCCAGTGAGCCATTCTGCCTTAGCCACTTAGAGTACAGCCACAGGTTATAACAAGGCTTAGCTGCAGCATGGCATTGACCCCTCAGCAACAAGGTGTCCACAACGTATGCTGTAGTCATCCAGCCCCTTCTGTTTTGGTGTCGTCATTTTGGCATCTGAGACAACAGCTCATGGAGAGCTGGCACTTGCTTTTGCTTTCAATGTCTGTGTAAATAATAATATGTCTAAATTCAAAAAGGGCTCATTTCTTTACCAGCCAAATCTTTCAACCTTGTCTTGATACCAAACATCTGATTCATCAATTAATGGTAAAACAAACAAAACTACCAGACAGATACTACCTGGGTACCAGAAATATAGAGATTAATAAAATGAAGTCATGATTCCTTCTTTGTTTTTCCCTTTAAAAGAGATGGGGTCTCACTCTGTTGCCCAGGCTGGAGTGCAGTGGCGTAATCACAGCTTGCTGCAGCCTCAAACTCCTGGTAGGGATCCTCCCGCCTCAGCCTCCTAAAACGCTGGGATTACAGGTGTGAGCCACCATGTCCAGCTTGATTCCTTCTTTTAACATTACCATCTCTTATTAAGGAAATAAACAGCAACAACAGAAAAAAAACAAGTATTCACAAGGCAGTGTAGAGCGCTACTAGAGAAGAGCAGAATGCCTGTAAGGGCTCCTAAATGAGATGGTGTGCTGAGAGGGAAGGGAGGCACCCTGAAATGGAGGAAGCCAGCAAGAAGTTTTCAGGCTGGGCATGGTGGCCTGCACCTTTGGTCCCAGCTACTCAGGAGACTGAGTTGGGAGGATTGCTTGAACCTGAGGGGTTGAGGATGCAGTGAGCTGTGATCGCATCACTGTACTTAAGCCTTGTAGACAGAGCAAGATCCTGATCAAAAAGGAAAAAAAAAAAAAGTGTTCACATTGGAAGGAAAGCATAGACCTTCAGATTTGGTGTTATCAGATTCCATCCAAGACTGATTTTTTTCTAGGCTTTGGAGCTCTCAATCCCCTTCAGCTCAAAAGTATCTCCCTCTGGGCGCTTTCAGTACATTGCTTAAAGATTCCATTTTAGCTAGTAAGTTTACAGTATGAGGAGTCTTTTGATTGCAAAACCTAACAGGCAAGCATTGTTAGCTTCCTACACAAAGTGCTTCCCCTTACTTCTAATACACTCCTGATTTTTTGGATGGAGAGCTGGGAGTGTGCCCAGCTGTAAGAATAAATTGTAATTGAGCTAAGCTATCCATGACCATTCTGCTTCCCTGTGCCAGATACTGCTTTGCCTTGCTGGCAGCGAGGAATGAGTATGTGATTCATTTCTGGTCCATGAGATATAAGGGGAAATAGTTTGTATCTTTGAAGAAATTTATCTAATTCATTTAAGTTGTCAGATTTATTGGCATAAAGTTCACAATTATTTCCTTAATATCTTTTAATGTCTAATACTACTAAATAGTTCCTTAATATCTTTTTAATGTTTGTAGAGATGTCCCCTCTTTCATTCCTGACATTGCTAATTTCTGGTTTCTTTTTTCTTAATCAAGACTTCAAGTTTTGCGCGAGGCTTATCAATTTTATTAATTTTTCAAAGAATCAACTTTTGGCTTTGTTTATTTGTTTCATTATTCTCTATTTATGGAGTTCTTCTCTTTTAATAAAATTAACTGACAGCAAAATATGGCACTTTTGGCGGGGGGCAGATATTTCTGAGTTTTAGATTTGTGAAATGACCACCAAAATCATGATACAGAATAGTTCCATCATTCTGTAAAACTCCATCAAGTTGTACTCACGCCTTTGCCACATCCCTAATTCATGGCAACCATAGATTTGTCATCTGTCACAATAGTATTGACTTGTCCAGAATGTAATAAAAATGGAATCATAAGGTATGTAATCCCTTAAGGCTGGTTTCTTTCATTCATCATAATGCCTTTGAGATTCATCTATGTTGCCATACGTATCAATAGTTGATTCCAGTGTATTTTTCACTTCAAAAATTTCTATTCGTTTCCTCTTTATATCTTCCATTTCTTTCCTGATATATATCCTTCCATTCATTCACCCTTACTTTCAAAGCATGGTTATAAAACTTGCCTTAAAGTTTTTTCTGTGAATCCTAACGTCTGTATCATCTAAGTGTTGGCATCACTTGATTTTTTTTTCTCTTGCAACTTGAGATATTCCTGGTTCTTTCTGTGCCTAGTAATTTTGCATTGTATCCTGCACATTTTCAATATTATGCTGTCAGATCCTGGGTATTATTTAAGTCATAAGGAGAATGTTGATGTTTTTGTTTAATAGGCAAATGCCCTAATTAGGGTCAGATTGCGAGTTCTGATCTGCATTGTGTGGGCTGCAGTTTCAATGTCAGTTCAGGTTTCAAACATTTCCAGTTCAATTTGGGTCTTTGTGTGTGCCACCCAGTGGCCAATCTGGGGCCTAAGCGGTAGTCTATCTTGTAGCTCAGTTCTCAATGCTTGTGATGTGCCAGTTAGGGTCAGCTCCACACATGTGCAGTTTAGAGGTGAGCAGATGGGCTCTTACAAAACTTTAGGGGATCTCACTTGATCTCCATCCTCTTTGCAATAACTTTATCACTTTTCTGGCTCCCTGGGG